TGTCAGCTCTACAAAATGAATCCAGTGCGTCAGAGGGCTTCCCTGCTACGGAACTCTCCCCCATCCCCAGCCCCACGCATCAGGTTGTATTGGAAACAATCTACACCATTTAAGATAGAGGGTCTCAAAATCCAATCGTTTCTTATTTGTATTGTTTTTACGTAGATTAAAGAAAGCCCCACCCAGTTCTCCAGTGCAGTATTTCCAAATATTGTTCCAGGAATCAACAGCGAGTTGAAGAGCCTCAACCGGTGCGTTACCATAAGATGGGCTTTCCCCACAGCTCTAACTATGGTTCCTCGCCTGTGCAGATTGCCACCAGGGCCACTCTCACCCACTGCCTAGCCCTCCCCTGTTTCTCTTCCCCCACCCTTAGCCCTGCAGTACACATCCCTCTCAAAACTTGCTCCCAAACAATCTGCACTATGGATTTGAGCATCATTCTACCCATGGCAACCGAACTGGTGTTGCCAGTTTGCTTTTCTTTCTCTTCATTATCACACTAAAATGTACTATTTTCAAAGGTTCAACCTCCTTCTTATCATTGTACTGCCTCACCTCCATCCCCACCCCCAAGCATCCCCAACTAAATATAGTAATTTTAATAAGCCTGTGTGGGTGCAGACACAGCAAATTCAGAAAGTTTCAAGTGTGTTGAAGAACAAAGAAAGCTACGGAGTATCAGTTATATCAATTTCTAATTCACCTTACTGTCCAAGACGTAGACCCTAATTGGGAAAAAAAAGTGAATAAACTATCCTTAGAGAATGATTGTTACTCTGTTTTGGGGAGTGGGGTAGGAAAGGGGAATGGCTTCTCTGGGATATTTGAATCATTTAAAGCCAGATCTTTCTCTGAATAGGATCAAAATTAGAATAAACATTTTAGGCCAAATCATAACCTGATATGGGATCCTTAAGGGATGCATAAGGGAGTTGACTCTCCTATTAAATGTACTTAGGTTTATCAAAGAATTCCTTTGCCTACTTAATGCTATCTTCTTTTAAGTTTTGATTTAAATATGGCATATTTTGGGGGAGAAAAAAATTGTCTGGTTTGCTTTTGTACTGTGCTAGTTCTTTTTAATTTAAGTATGTACTAAAGGATATCACACTCAAATGAGGATGATGATGATGCTGATGGGGATGCCAGCAGCCACTGTAAACATAATGTGGAGATAATTATTCTGCTCTTGTTTTTGGTGGGAGTGGAAAAATTTATATATTTATTTTTTAAATGTGAAGGGAGATGAAGGGAAACTGGAGCATTTCCACTGGCTTTCAACAGGTGGAATTCCTGTTAAGTCCCATCTAGAAGGTGATCCAGATAAGTCCATAACTTCTGTTCTTTAGTCACCTTGTAAATAATAATATTTGGATATCTTACAGAACTGTGGATCTGTTGTACCTGTGCATCAATTCAGAGGCATTAGTTCTGGGTACTTACCTAATAAACAAATATTTATTGATTATCCATATGGAGGACTCTGGTGCTGCATGAAGGGACTTCAAAGACACATACAAACAAGGGCCTTATGATCCAGGAATTTAGAATTTGGTTGTGCAGGAAAAAAAGATTTTTTTAACAAAATAAGACAGTATAATGATACTATTTCAACTGTAAACTATGAGATCTGAAGCTTATATGTGAATTTATAAACTCCTTGAGGGTAAGACCTTGCCTTAAACATGTATGATTTCCAACAGGGTCTACATTCAGTGGGTGCTCAAGCGATGAAGCTTTGCAAAGTAGATTAGGTAGGGAGAAACTAGAGGCAGGGAGAGAAGAGCCAGGAAGCTTTCACAGTAGATTAGATACAAGGAGATGTGGACCAAAATGAGGATGGTAGCAGAAGACTGGGAAAGGATATTGCAAAGAAAAATCATCAGGATTTAGTGACTGAAAGCAAGGAGACAAGCCTAACTGTATTCATTTTTACCTCCAGCAAATAAATGGGAGTTGGAGACAGCAGAGGAAAGTGTAGGGTCACCTTAGTAAGGACACAGCACACAATAGGCACTCAACTGTTTTCTCAAGCATCAATTGCAGGATTGGACAAGAAGACCCTTAAGGTCCCTCCAATGTTGAGATTCTGTGGTATATGCAAATGCTCAAAACTGTTGGGGAACAAGGCATTCTCAGATATGGAAGAAAGAGAAAAGGAAGAATTGTTATCCTCCCACTGGCAGGCGCTTTCTGAGAAAGGTTAATATTGAGTCACAAGGCCCCCACCAGTGAATGAAAGGAGGTGGAGAGCAAGAGGAACAAAATTCCCAAACTAAAAATTTCAATAAGTGCTTACAAATCTTTGCAAACTTCGTAAGTTGTTTCCTTCCAAATCCTGTGAGTTAAGTAGGGCAGGCATTACCAGCTCTATTTTTATATAGGAATAAACACAGCAAGATTAAGTGACCTGTCCAAGTTCATAAAATCAATGAATGGGAAAGCAGTGATGAAGACTGTCCTGATTGCTGCCAGCCCAGTGCACTTGACACTGAACTGCATTGTTCTTCCCTGGTATAGACCCTATGCACCCAGAAGTTATGTGTGCACATGACCAAATAGGGGATGCATGAGCAACAGCAGCAATATCTCAGATAGTTATTAATACTTCATTATTCCTGGAGCCGAGTATTTGGTTTCCATATTCACTCAGTTCTTGACCCGTCATTTGCATTTATCCACAGCAGCCGGGAAAGTAGGGTTAGCCGTTTAATGATATGGACACCTATTTGCTAGGAACTTAAGGAAGTTCCCTTGGCATGGGCGTGTAATACTGTCAATATTGTGCCCAAGTTTGTACTTCCTTCAAGTGAGAGTTCAAGAGTTCTGCTCTGTAAAATTATCCTACAGACCAATATAAAAAAGAAGTGTGCTAACACTTGGTTCGTCTCCATTTAAAGAAATGTTTGGTACTTGAGCTATTTCCAAAGACAGCAATTTGAGAGCAGAAGAAAAAACAGGACAAAAATCAGAAATTGTAGGAAACTTGAGAATTTTTTAGAATAGATATAGACCAAGAAGGAGGATAAAATCTATCAGTTTAGAAGACATTATTTAAATTCATAATTACTGATTTAGATCTCTAATGAATCCCTTATTATATACTTTTCCTACATCTGAAAAAAATAACATGAGATTGTTAAGCAGCAGAGATTTCTTAAAAGCTTCTTTATTCCTCAGTAAGAAAGAACACTCAGCAAATCTAGGAACTGTTTTTTTCTTTTTAGACAAGTACTCTTGATGCTGTTGAAATAAGACACTTGCCATAATTAACTATAATTATAAATGAAGTTATGTTTGAATGTAATAAAGCCAGTTAAATTCTAAAACCTGTGTTCTAGACAGATGACTGAAATTAATGAGTAAAATAATTAGCCAAGATTATATATTGTAAACAAGGAGTCCCCAAACATATTTTTTTCTTCTCTGATCTTGTGGAATCAGTTGCAGAGACACCCTCAAAGCTGAGTGCATTAATAAATTTCTTAGAGATGGGAACACTGGTAGGTAGAAAGGTAAGGAGTTTCATCTCTGCCTTAGAATTTCAACATATCTTGGACTCCTCTGTGCTTTCTCTTTCCTGAATATCATCTATTGTGAATATCATCTACTTTCTTTGATTTACTTTTACTTTGAATGGAAAGCTCAATAGAGAGACTATAAAACTTTAAAAAATCATATAAAGTACACTCAAGTTAGGACAAGTTAAAGTTAAAGTCCATGCAATAAAATTATTTTGTCCATGTTAGGTATTTGTAGTATTTGAACTCTCAAGTATATTTGTGAAAAGCATCCTCTGTAGGTAAGTTGAGGTTGGTCTGTTTTTTTTTTCCTGACTTGAGTATATTTATATATAGATAGCCTTAACTTTATTTTAAATAAATTTTTATAAATAATGTTTCCCAATATGTTTTTTTTAGAATCCTAAAAAGAAAGAATATAGCAACAACAAGAAAAAGACTAAGATTGTGACAAAGACCCAACTGGGTAGGTTTACATTTTATTCTCAACTAGGTAGGTATATATGTTATATGTTTTTATTTGATCATCATTGTTGATTTCCACAATGGACCTCGTTTGAAAGAACCTAACAAAATCTAGTACAAGGTAGTTGTTCAGTAAACATTCGATCTTTTTATTTTAAGATGCATTCTAGGTATTTCATGTATAGAATGTGGAGGTAACAAGAAGGATACTGTATAATTATTAGCTCTTTAGAGTTTACGGTATGTTTTCATTGGTGTTATTATGGAATGAGAACCTAAATCCAGAAATTAATAAGCTATTCAAGATTTTCTTCTTCAGTGATAGCTGTTATAATGATACCAATCAACAGTCATCAACTTGAGTGCCATTGTTCCATGAAGGAAAGATTATGGAAGATCTTTTACTTGTGAGGGTATCCATATCAATTCAAGTATAATGGGGCAAATGCCTGAAGAAACCTGATCTTTTTCTCTTTTCCAATTTCTGGGGTCCAATGTAACCCTAACCAAACTTCTACTAACAGAATCAAGATTCCAGCTTACACAGCTTTCTCTCCTCAACAGTTCTTGGGTCCATCAGGAACAGACTTCAAACCCCTCTAATCAATTTCATACTCTTTGCCTCTTGTTTGGAACTGTCCAAACCAGAAGCTAATACATTACACATTTGAGTAGCATTCCTGTTCTAGGCTTTCTCTCCTAGAATAGGGTCAGAACTGAACCAGATTACAGCACCATCTGCTAGTCCATTTATGCATGGCATTCAGCCATTTTCCTGGCACAGGCAAGAGACTTCAGAAAAACAAGACATATTTTCTCCCTTATGGAAAAAGAGTTATATTCCTTCTGCTGTACTATATCATTTAATGAGCATGAATTAAGAGAAGTTAAATAATAAGGCCTTGTAATTCAGAGAAATTTACTATGAAGTTGATTTCAGTTTCAGGTTTAACTGTTTTCCCTTCTACTTTTTCTTTTATTTTCAGGTTCTCTTGGTTATAAACTCTTCTCCATCTGGTGCTACAACAATGAGTGGGAAATCCCTGCTCTTAAAGGTCATTCTCTTGGGTGATGGTGGAGTTGGGAAAAGCTCGCTCATGAACCGTTATGTAACCAATAAATTTGACTCCCAGGCTTTTCACACCATAGGGGTAGAGTTCTTAAATAGAGATCTGGAGGTAGATGGACGTTTTGTAACTCTCCAAATCTGGGACACTGCAGGGCAGGAACGCTTCAAGAGCCTTAGGACACCCTTCTACAGGGGAGCAGACTGCTGCCTCTTGACTTTCAGCGTGGATGACCGGCAGAGCTTTGAGAACCTTGGTAATTGGCAGAAAGAATTCATCTACTATGCAGATGTGAAAGACCCTGAGCACTTCCCCTTTGTAGTTCTGGGTAACAAAGTAGACAAAGAGGATAGGCAAGTGACTACTGAGGAGGCACAGGCCTGGTGCATGGAGAATGGAGATTACCCTTATCTAGAAACAAGTGCCAAAGATGATACTAATGTGACAGTAGCCTTTGAAGAAGCTGTCAGGCAGGTGTTAGCTGTAGAGGAACAGCTGGAGCATTGCATGTTAGGTCACACTATTGACTTGAACAGTGGTTCCAAAGCAGGATCTTCATGCTGTTAAAAGTGGGAAGCCTTTTAAAAGTGTGCCCCAACTGGTCAGTCAGTAGTGTAAGAATAACTGTGCCCTTCTAAGACTGCACACACATACAAAAGGGTAAGAGAGAAGGTTATGATTGTAAATCAGAGCCTTTCAAATTGAAGTTGTAGAGCAATTAAAAAAAAAAGCTTTATCAAGCCAAGTGTATTTTGCGTGATTTCTGCTATTTCCTTCTTGTGTGTTTCAGGACATTTCAGAAAGCTTTAGTTCTGAAAGATTTAGATATTTTTCAAATCACAGTTTAAACTTAGAACCCAGCCGCATGAAGGAGTTAAAGAGCTACAGCTATCCCTTAAAGCATTCCATTAATCAACTAACAAACAAATGTCACCATCAACTCTTGCCAAGCAGTTTCTGACATGTCTGCCAAAGGGGAAAAAAATAAGGCTCTGAGTCGTATTACGTTAAAGATTATTATGCAAACTAGGATGTCCTTATCTTGAATTATAAAGAGGTTGTAATGATTAGGAATGCAAAAGTATGATGATGTACACTGCCTTGTTTAAATCCTTATGTATGGTTTGCTCCCATCTGAGCTTTTCAAAAAATACCATCTCAATAAGAGGTACACTAATGACAATGGAGATTATTATACTCCTTGTGTTTGAAGTAACAGGGTCCTAGTGAATGGATTATGTTTAAATATGCCAACCACCCTTGCAAATAAAAGGTTGGTCTGCTTTTGCTTCATAAGTCTACTTTTGCTGCCCAGGGATGTTGCTTCTCTGACAACCTCTTATCAATTTAGCAATGCTGCTTAGTATATAGCTTTGGATGCAGTGCACTCTGCTCATAATTTTGATGGTCCTTTGGTCCACCATACTGTGTTCTCAGAGAAGCCTTCAGAACAGGTTGGAGGATACTGGGCTTTTCTCCTAAGGATCAGTAACTCGAATATTTATTGTAGAAGAAGGAACTGATTTCTTGTATGTACTGTATGTTGAGCTGGCCAAACTAGGACGTTGAAAGTAACAAGAGAACATACTTTAACCCAGCATTAGAATGAATTTAAGAGAGTTGTCCAACAATAGAATGGACTGCCTTAATAGTGAACCCCCTTCTAGGGAAAATATTCAAGATGCTGGATGACCATCTGTTAAATTATCATAAAAATAATTTCTGTACTGCCTAGATGTTTGGTTGAAGGTCCCTTCCAGCTCTGAGTTCTAGGAATCTGCGAGCTACAAACTACGTTTCAGTGCCATGCTTTAGTTAGATATATCTTAAGGCAACAGCTAAGACTATGGAAAGGGACTTTAAAATTTCTCAAACTACTCTGGGATCAGCATTTAACAGCAACTACATAGCTCTTTCTTTTGCTTTTGCACTATGGCAGGAAAAGTTCTTGAGCTCTGAGTAATCATTATGTGCCCAATATAAACATCCTGAAGATACCATATTAAAATACAAAAAGTTTGTCAAATTTTGATTACCATGACTGCCAGCTATATACTATATTATTAATATGCAGCTAGTTCTTGTCAGTTGATATATTTGTCCTGCATAGATTTTAATCTATACTTTTACAACATCTATGATAAAAACAGTGACCCAAGGTAGTGAGAGACAGTTAGAAATGACCCCAAAAGAGACCTAGGTTGGGAAGGGGGCAGGAGCTTTCACAGGAATATAGCCTAGAACTCTCCATTGTAGCCACATATGGAATCAGCCTTACATGTGGGACCTTATGTGCTTTAAGAGCTCTGGGACTTTTTGGCCACATTGATAAGTGGAAGATGATATTTTAACCCAGTAATGCTCAATATTTCCAATTTAAATATAGTCCAGACCCCATTGTCCAATTAATTTTGATTCCAGAAGTCAAAGCCAGAACTGGGACCCCATAGCTCTTAAGTATTGGTCTCTATCCTGCCTATGCCTATAGCCAGCCACACTGGTTTCCAAGTTCTATGGTCATTTTGCTACAGTCATGTTAGGGTGAAAATATGTATGTCGGAACTATTAAATGCTAACTGTTTTTAAGTGCATGAGACCTGGGGCCTTCTCTTTCTACTTGCACTCTGCTTATAATAGTTTCTATTTGTAGATCTCAGGCCTTCATAAAGACCTCCATCCACTCACAAAAGTACTTGTCACTATTAGAATGGCATGTGATCATTTAAGTAAAAAAATTACTTAGGTATCCCATTCATAGGCCTCCTGTCCATACCAGACAAGTGTTAGGTCATTTGAAGCCCCTTTCCTCTTAGCCATACCAATTTTTTTTTCTGCCATATCACTACACAATATCTTAATGAAAGCACTTAAGTGACAAAAAATAGTGGCATTTTGGTGAGCAATACTCTGTGGGTTGTGGACATATAGTTTGGGTAAGATAAAAAAAAAACACCAAAGGCTGAAATCTGTGAGTACAAGAAACTGTGCATATAGGCTTAGAAATTGTGTACTCTAGAATGTGCAGTGCAATATTTTCAGTAGGTGTTTTTTTATTTTAATGAACACTAGATTTTTTGGAACAAGATATTTCTAATTGGAACTATATTGTTTTTCAATGGTCCATTAAAACATCATACAGAATATCTATTTAATTTATTTACATTTGTTGGGCTAACATTCAGGGGGCCTCAGATTCCATGTGTCAGTGGATTGATGAATTTCAGGTTAATTTGTGCCTGCCTCAGCCATCTCTACTTTACCCTGAGGTATTCCACAATCCTCTTGTTGCAGGTGCTGCTAAAAACTCAAAATTGTGTATCAGATATTTTGTTTCAACTGTAAAAATATCATCTGTGTTAAAGTGAATAAAAAGTGCATTTTGAATAACCAGTATACAGTGTTTGTGCTTCTTTTCTCCCTTTCCCTTTTTGAGCAACTGGTGGGTGTGACAGAGAGTATTTATCAATCAAGTCACTCTTTCAGGCTGCCCTACATGTGGCTCTGGATCATTTTTTCACATGGTACTCCAAGCAGCCACTACCTACTGATCAGACAGATACCGTTCTACTGATTGGGAAACAAACTCAAAAGATTAAGGTGGGGAAGTTCCTTTTATTTTATGCCATTTTTTAAATACATGAAGAGTATTGGGACTAGAACTTGGATCTTGACTCCCCACTTTATTTCTTCATTATAATTTAAAACAGAATTAGACCATCACAAAATATAAACAGAATTTTATACATATTCCCTTTGGAATATGTATTCCAAGGAATACATATTCTCTTTATTTTCTTGACTGGAATACTGTCCAGATCTTAGGAAAACATGAGAATATAGGCAAAACAAATCAGAAAGCAAAGGATAATTTTGTTAAATATTCTTTTCTGTTGCTTCTCACATATTGGAATTTAAAGAGACTTGGATTAGCATCGAACGGCTTGAATATACAGTACGTAGTGGTGACTTTTAAATTACACACACAAGTCTCTCCACAGCACATAATTACATTACAGTGATTCCATCTGTCACAGATTTAGCCCTCTTCTCCCCTCCCTCTATTTTTGCCTATTGGAACTTTGGGCAGTCGAAATCACAGCGGGTAAAAAACAGATTTTTTTTTTTTTGCCACATGTACTGTTTCCATCGCTAAGGATAATCATTTAACAAGTTATCAGACTTTTATGATGTAACTTTTAGGCTAAAAGGTCATAGGTTTATAAGCTCTTAAAAAGGATTTGCTCAGCCAAAACTGATACTTTAAAAGCAGAAAACTGGGCTTCCCTGGTGGCGCAGTGCTTGAGAGTCCGCCTGCCGATGCAGGAGACGCGGGTTCGTGCCCCATTTCGGGAGGATCCCACGTGCCGCGGAGCGGCTGGGCCCGTGAGCCATGGCCGCTGAGCCTGCGCGTCCGGAGCCTGTGCTCCGCAAATGGGAGAGGCCGCAACAGTGAGAGGCCCGCATAACGCAAGGAAAAAAAAAAAAAAAAAAAAAAAAAAGCAGAAAACTAACTTTCTGTCTTTGCAGGTTTTCTACCTGATTCATAGCCCAGTAGGAAATCTCTTTCTCTTTATGTCTCAAGAAATAGTATAGTGGGAAGCAGGGGCGGGATTGAATGAAGGCAGTCAAAAAGTTCAAACTTCCAGTTATAAGATAAATAAGTCATAGGGATGTAATGTATAGCATGATAAATAAAATTAACTCTGATGTATATTATATATGAAAGCTGTAAAGAGAGCAAATCCTAAGAATGAGAGAGAGAGAAAAGAAAGAAGAAAGAAGAAGAAAGAAAAGAAAGAAAGAAAGAAAGAGAAAGAAAGAAAGAAAAAGAAAGAAGGAAAGAGAGGAAGGAAGGAAAAGAAATAGTATAGATTCTCATATTTTGGAAATAGTTTGGCTATGGTTCTTCCTGGAAGTGGAAGGTTTGGAATAGATGGTTTCTCCTCAATTCTATAATTAAATTTTTGAAACACACTGGAAAAACTGAAGCACCAATCTGAGTAATTTCAGGCTGGGAGTGGCATCTCTACTTTCATTTGAATTACCTGTAGCAGTTCTAAGTGCAATATATATATTTTTTTACCTCAGTGATCCAGATAATCATTTCACTTTTTTACCCCCTTGTGGAGATGTAGGATTCATTACCGCAGAGTGCTTTTCTTACACTTGGTTTTAGGACAGATAAACTGATGATACATTTTTTGATAAAATATTCATATATGTGTATGTTTTTTTCCAAACTGGTCTCTTTTTTCCCCCAGCTTTATTGAAGTATAATTGACAAATAAAAATTGTATATATTTAAGGTGTTCAACTTGATGATTTGATACATGTGTACACTGTGAAATAATCACCACAATCAAGCTAATTAATATATCCATCACCATTCAGAGTTACCTTTTTTATGCTGTCTTTTTAGTTTCCTCAAGTTAAAATCACCAATAAAGCCCCCATTCTTTACTCTTTTCTCTTTAAGAGAAGGAAAGGATAATGATAGAAACTAGGCATAAAAAATGAAAGTAAAGTTATTAAATTATTAAATGTCCCCTTATTGATATGTTTGCAAAAACTGGTAAGCAAAGATCTGGCTTTTATTTTGCTGATGGAGGTGGTGATGTTTGTGTGAGGATTGGTGTGGGCTTTTTTTTTTGAGG